ATGAAATGGAGTTTTGTGTTCAATTGGATTTCCTCAAGAGGGATTTTGAGTGTGTCGTCAGAAAGACACTTTTTCAAGTTCGATACATGGAAAACATCATGTACCCTTTCTAACTGTTGAGGTAGTTCGAGTCGATACGCAACAGGACCAATCCTTTCCAGGATCTTAAATGGTCCTATATATCGTGGGTTCAGTTTGCCTCTCTTTCCAAACCTGATCATGCCCTTCCAAGGTGATACCCTTAACATGACTTTGTCTCCTACCTGAAATTCTAAGGGTCTACGCCTTACGTCAGCATAACTCTTCTGACGATCACGTGCGGTCTTCAGTCTGTCCCTGATTTGTACTATCTTTTCAGTTGTCTCGTGAATTATCTCGGGTCCAGTTCGTAGAGTATCTCCTGAATGTACCTTGGCCAATTGGGTGTCACCAACCTCTGCCCAACATAGTGGTGACCGACATTTCCTTCCATACAATGCTTCAAATGGTGCGGCCTTTATGCTGGTGTGATAGCTGTTGTTGTAGGAAAACTCAATCAAAGGCAAGTGAGTATCCCATGAATTTCCAAAGTCTATCACACAGGCTCGGAGCATATCTTCTAGGGTTTGGATGGTTCGTTCACTCTGACCATCTGTCTGAGGATGGTAAGCCGTGCTCATGTCTAGACGGGTACCTAAGGACTTTTGTAATGATTGCCAAAATCGAGAGGTGAATCTACTGTCTCGGTCAGAGATAATAGAGATTGGGACTCCGTGTAATCTTACAATCTCTTTTAGGTACGTTCTGGTCAACTTTTCCATCTTGTCTGCCTCCTTAATTGGTAGGAAATGGGCGGACTTTGTTAATCTATCCACTACCACCCAGATTGTATCGTAACCACATGGTGTTCTGGGTAACTTGGTAATGAAGTCCATAGTGATTAGTTCCCACTTCCATTCGGGTATCTCGGGTTGTTGTAGCAAACCCGAAGGCTTTTGATGTTCTGCCTTAACTTTAGAACATGTTAGACACTTGCTTACGTAAGTAGCAATCTCGGCTTTCATGTTTGGCCACCAGTACAACATCTTAAGTCGTGATACATCTTATCGGAGCCTGGGTGAACGGAATATCTTGTCTTATGAGCTTCGTCCATGACTAAACTCCTGACGTTTCCGAATTTGGGCGTCCAGATTCTGTTCATGAAGTATCGCGTTCCATCGTTTCTAAGATCGAATTGCTTATCCATTCCTCGTAAAGCTTCGTCCGTTATGTTTTCTTCCTTTATAGCTTCGAGCTGAGCTTCCCTTATTTGAGCACTAAGGTTGGAAAGGATAGTCATGGTTAATGCTCGTACGCGTCTGGGTTTGACGTGTTCCTTACGGCTCAGTGCATCTGCCACAACGTTTGCTTTCCCGGGATGATAGCGAATTTCACACTCGTAATCATTTAGTAATTCGACCCATCTTCGTTGCCTCATATTTAGTTCCTTTTGATCGAAGATATGTTGGAGACTCTTGTGGTCAGTAAAGACGGTACATCTCGTACCATACAAGTAGTGTCTCCATATTTTGAGTGCGAAAATCACTGCTCCTAATTCAAGGTCATGAGTTGTGTAATTGACCTCATGCACTTTGAGTTGTCTGGAGGCGTAAGCAATCACTCTATCTCTTTGCATTAATACGCAACCTAATCCTTGATGTGACGCGTCGCAGTAGACGACGAAGTCTTCAGTTCCTTCCGGAAGTGATAGGATTGGTGCGCTACACAACATTTGTTTTAATTTCTGGAAAGCAATCTCTTGCTTTTCTTCCCAGGTAAATTTCACATCCTTCTGTGTCAATGCAGTTAGAGGTTTGGCCGTCTTAGAGAAGTTCTCAATAAATCTCTGGTAGTAGCCAGCAAGGCCTAAAAATTGGCGCACTTCAGTCGGTGATCTTGGTGCTTCCCAGTTCTTGATTGCTTCGATTTTTGCGGGATCTACATGTATCCCTTTGTTGCTTACGACGTGCCCTAAAAAGTGTACTTCTCTGATCCAAAATTCACACTTGGAGAATTTTGCGTACAGTTTCTCTTTTCTTAGCAGTTCCAATATTAATCGTAGGTGTTGGCCGTGTTCTTCTTTTGTTTGTGAGTATATCAGGATGTCATCAATGAATACAATCACAAACTTATCTAAATAAGGTTTACAAACACGGTTCATGAGGTCCATGAACACTGCGGGGGCATTCGTCAGACCGAACGACATAACTAGAAACTCGTAATGTCCGTACCGAGTTCTGAAAGCGGTTTTTGGTACATCTGATTCCATGACTTTAAGCTGGTGATACCCTGAACGTAGATCTATCTTGGAATAGTAGCTAGAGCCTTGCAATTGGTCGAACAAGTCATCGATTCTTGGGAGTGGATAACGGTTCTTGATCGTTAACTTGTTCAACTCCCGGTAATCAATACACATTCTGAAGGATCCATCTTTCTTCTTGACAAATAAAACTGGTGCTCCCCAAGGTGAGAAACTTGGTCTTATGAAGCCTTTGTCAAGAAGTTCTTGCAATTGGCTTGAAAGCTCTTGCATCTCTGACGGAGCCAGTCTGTAAGGTGATTTGGCAACCGGGGCCGCGCCGGGAGTCAGATCAATTCTGAACTCAACTTGTCGGTTTGGCGGCAACCCAGGTAGGTCTTCTGGAAACACATCGGGGTAGTCACGTACTTGTGGTATGTCTTTTATCTCCTTTTCCTTGCTCTTTTTATCTACTATGTGAGCCAAAAAGGCGTAACATTTCTTGTGTAGATATTTCTAAGCCTTTGTGCAAGAGATTAACTTTAGGTTTTGTCCCGATTTATCCCCATAAATTGTCATAATCTCCCCATTGGGTAGGGTCAACCGTACAGCCTTCTCGTAGCATAGAATCTCAGCATGATGAGGGGCAAGCCAATCCATGTCGACAATAATGTCGAAGCTTCCGATAGGCATGGGCATAAGGTTTATTTGAAATGCGTGGTCATTTAGAGTTAGTGTGCAATCTATCAGTATTTCAGTAGTGCTCTCTATTTGGCCGTTTGCTACTTCTACTTCGTATGCTACCTCTAACTTCCTAATCTCATGGTTTAAACGCTATTTAAATTTTGGAGTTACAAAGCTTTTATCGGCGCCCGAGTCAAAAAGTATTGTAGCATACAAGTTATTGACGAGAAACGTACCAGTGACCATCGATGCGTCTTGGATGGCGTCCTTATTTCCGATCACAAATGCTCTTCCACAGGCATTTCCTGCCTTGCCCTTCAGCTTTGGGCAATCTCGTTTGAAGTGTCCCTTTTCACCACACTCATAACATGTCCTTGCTCCTCCTCCTCCTACCCCAGCACCAACGTTCTGACTTCCCACTGCTCCTGTCGGGATTTTACAGAAAGGGGCGGTATGTCCCTTTCGTTTGCAGTTGGTGCATTGAAAACACTCTCCGTTGTGGTGTCGGTTGCAGGTGACACACAAGGGGTGTTTTCCTGCATAGTTTTTTTGGGGTGTGGGTGTTGGAGTCGGAGTTGTTGTTGTTGCAACATAGGCCTTCTTTCTCTTTGTTGTGCGTGAATCTCCTCCGCCTGCTTTTCGTTTGTTGGGTTCAACCCTAGGAGTTTCAAACCTTGCTTCCAGGGACCCTCGACTAAGTTCATTTTTTGGTCAAACGTTTTGCTAGGTTCTTAACACTTTCGTAGCTTGTAACCCTTGACGAGATGACCAATCCCTTGATTTGAGGTGCCAACCCCCAAATATAGCGTTCAATCTTTTTGTGCTCCGGCGTTACGAGTGTCGGGCAAAGTAGGGATAGGTCATTGAACCTCGTAGTGTAAGCTTTAATGTCCGAACCTTTCATTTTTAGGTTCCAGAGTTCATTTTCCAGGTTCTGGATCTCATCCCTAGGGCAGTATTCTTCTACCATCATTGCCTTCAGGTCTCCCCAAGATAAGGAGTTGGCAGGAATGATGCCTATTGTTTTCACCTGCTCGTTCCACCATGACAGGGCTGAGTCGAGGAGAGTGCAAGTAGCAAATCGTACCTTGCTATCCTCCGCATAGTAACTGATTTGAAATACAGATTCCATTTTCTCGAACCACCTCGTTAAGCCAATGACTCCTTCGTTTCCGTAGAAGTTCTTAGGCTTACAGTTCATGAAATCGTTATACGAACAAGCCCTTCGGGTTTCGTTGTAGTATATGTTTGTACTACTCCCTGGTCTTGTTCCTGTTCCCTCGATTTCTATGATCGGAGTTTCATGGTTTGCGCTCCTAGCATTTGTTAGAGCTATGAGGCGATCCGAGATTAGTTGCTCCAATTCAGACGCTGTTTGCGCGAGTCCCGTCATTAGAGGTGGAGGTGGAGGGGCATCATTCGTTTGGTTTTCAGTCACTGGGGTTATTGGCGGGTTTCTTACTGGCCTGGTATGGAGTTGCCCCCTTCGTGCAGTCGTTGGCCTTGCTGTTGGTGCTGCTGCTGGACGAGTTCACACGGGTTGCTTCTTCGTGGAGGCATTGTGTACGTCCTATCAATTTAGCAGTATGTTATTAGTTGCATGTCGTTATTGTTGTTGTTTGTGCTATGGGACTGAATATTCAGTTTATTTATTATTGTGCATGAATTTAAATGTTTGCATAAAATTCGCATGAAAGATTACTAATAGCTTCCTTGTATCATTCATTTTGGTACACGTTTTATTGGCACACATTACAACAAGAGTACGATAGGGTACAAAACCCTAACAATGTTTATACGGTAAACAGATAAAACCTATACGTAAGTCGTTAAGCGACCCACGGTTTATTTCACTCTCCTACATGCTCCTTCTACTTCATCACCAAGTTTCCTTCCCCATTCATCAATTCCATAACTCTCCTAATTGATCCCAAAGTTACGAGACAATGTTTTCAGTATTTCTCGAACCTGTTCCTCTAAAGCCTGGGTCCTTTGCTCCATCCCTCGGGACCTTTCGTCTACTTCGATTGCCCTCGCCATTGCCGTCCTCATCAAGCCCTCAGATTCCTGTCAGCTTGCTTCTTGAGTATTGATGTAGTTGTAAGTGGCCATCACCATATTGTGGTCCCCCCCTGATAAAATTATAGTCTTGGTTCCTCAATTCTCTCGGTTGTTGGACATGTCGGGTGAGTCTAGCGTTGTTGCTTTCCACGACACTCACTTCGTCACTCACCATTTTGATTTGGTTCCCCAAACGGAGTGTGCGGTCGAATAGTAACGATAGAGATCCAACATCTGTAGGTTCCTGGGGCTTGGTCCCGGAGGGTTGTCCAACTTCATATTCTTTCTTTCTTTCCCCTTCCTGATTTTCCAATGGCGGCTTGTCTTTCATCGATTCGTCCGGAAAGGGGCTATATGGGACCTTTTTGGGCCTGGGAGATTTATCTTGGGTTCTCTTGGTAATGCTCCTGCAAGGCGGAATGGATTTGCGGATGGTTGCTCTAGTGTGATGCATTCCGGAGCCAATGCGATGTGTCACAGGTAGAGGGGACACAGTGGGTGCGACTATCGGGGTGGGTGTTGCTTGGGTTACCGGTTCCTCCGTTTCTTCCTCGGAATCCGAATCCTCATCCATATCATCATCCGATTCCTCTTCCGAGTCTTCCTCGGGATCTTCTTTTACGGATCTTCTTTCGGGTCTTCCTGTGGCTCGTCGTCAGGTATACGTATCGGTGCTTGGTTTTATTGAGTTGGGAATTAGGGATCCCCTACCAATGGCACATGTGAGTTAACCTCTTCTTCGCTTTTCTCCAGTGATTGCGATTTCATCCTATATTGATATTTAAGGTTGTATTAATATTTGTTTTCAAATAAAATTTTAACCAAGATTTTTAACAAATCAACTATTTCGCTTAGGTTAGGTAGTGCATAAATCTGACCGTAATAAAACATAGGCGCACAACTAGGTTCAGTTATGGTATGACGCATGTACTAAGGAACCTAGTTGAATATTTGATTTTTAATTCCTTGTATATATATATTTTTTTATCTTGGATTAGTGTTTTATCATCGAGGAACTGTGTTTTTATATATTACCCTTTGATTACTTTGGGAAGTATAATTAGTAATACTTTTCATTTATAGTTTTATTGGAATAAATCTAAGTATAGGGTCTTTGTCATTAAGAACCTAACTATTAAGTTTTATAGATCTATGGGGATAGACCTAAGGATTTTAGGTTTAAGAATGACTAGACCTACAAGAGTAATCCCTTAGACTATAGTTGTGCTCTCCTAAGGAAAGTACTATTCGCTATAGTCGTTTAGCTCTGATACCAATCTGTCACACCCCGACCGATGGCGGAATCACCGGGGTTGCGACGTGAAACGTTGGTTCATAGTTAACAACATACATCGAATATTACAAGATTCAAATAACATTACATTCTTCCAAAGTATGAAAAGAAGAAATACATTGTTTAATAAATCCCAGTCGACAACTAATACATAATTCAAGTTCTATAAAACATATAACAAGTGGACCGGTTACTCGGTCAATAGTTTATTTAAGGAGAAATATCCTCCTTACCCTGTGGGCATTCCTCCAGCTTTTAAGATCCTGAAGATACATACGTTTAAAAAATACGTCAACAAAAATGTTGGTGAGCTTTATAGGTTTAGACTCCAATGGTTTATAATCAAAAATACATTTGTGACATTTTAAGATTATAAATATGTATTTAGTCCGCACTTGTAATCCCATACAAGTAAAATAGTTTGGTTCATTGTTCATAACCAAGAAATCATGAGTCGTAAGTATCGTATTGAAAATATTATAAATACGAATTATATATAATAATGTTTTCAACACTTATCCATTTTGTTCAAAAGTTCATTTTTAACGATAAAACTTCTAGATTAAAATTTATGGGTTCTAGTATGAACCTATAACCGAACTATGGACGCGCAAGCCTCTGTAAAGCAGTACGGTGAGCAGATGTACTGTGACCATCACGACGCTTCATCGACGTCGTGAAATATATAAGTGGCTGAACGATTACGCCCGTTTTGACTCGTCAGACGATGGTTGTAGCTAGCAACCGCAGGCGGGGCTGTCAACCCGTATAGATCTATACCAATGTTCCACGTTCCTTTCGGATTAACGGTTATAGCACAGAGGGCTTTGTACTAAGTTTTTGAGTTCTTAGCGATGAAGTGTTTCTCATACAGAATATCCTTAAATTGTTAAGTCTAGGATTTTTGTCGTCATTCCTATTCCGAGCCTTAACAATATTTGCATTTCTTTGTCGTCACATTCCAATATATGTAGTTGTACATACACTATTATACATATACTTTTAAGAGTATGTAAATATGTATGTATATATCATTGAAGGCATAAAAACATTACTTCTATTCTGTGTTTCCTTTAAGCGTTAATAGCTTTTTTTATAAGTTTTCTTTTTATATAAAATATCTTATTTTATATAAACAATCATATTCTATAAAACTACTCATTTTTATAAAATATTACAAGATCTCCTTATAAGCTTAATTTTTATATAAAATATCATTTTTATATAAAAATTATCATATTTTATAAAAACTACTTATTTTTATAAAATGTTACAAGATTCTTTTATAAACTCCATTTTTATATAAAATATTAATTTTATATAAGAATAATCATATTTTATAAAAACTACTTATTTTATAAAATGTTACAAGCCCTTTTTATAAACTCCATTTTTATATAAAATAACAATTTTATATAAAAATAATCATATTTTATAAAAACTACTTATTTTATAAGAAGTTACAAGGTGTTTTTATAAACTCCATTTTTATATAAAATAACAATTTTATATAAAAATAATCATATTTTATAAAAACTACTTATTTTATATGATGTTACGAGATCTTTTTATGAACTCCATTTTATATAAAATAGCAATTTTATATAAAAATAATCATGTTTTATAAAAACTACTTATTTTTATAAAATGTTACCAAACCTTTTTATAAACTCCCTTTATATGAAATATCAATTTTATATAAAAATAATCATATACAGCTCATTATTTTCATATATACATAACATTAATCTAGTTAAATCCTTATGTATATGTAAGTCTAGTTATGTCTTATTATATTTACATTTTTGACCTTGCTTGTAATTATATTAACAAATTAGGTCCTAATTCCATATTTTTTTTGGTTTATTTTATTAATGACCATTCTAACACTAATGGTTAGTTTTGATTATCAACCAAAAATACTTGCATGGACTTATGTCACGAAGATAATACCAATACATATATTTATATCTACGGATAATAACTTTATACGAATGTTTTATTACGTCATAATATAATATGAAATTTTGTTTATAATGCATGTAACCATTTCATAGATTCATTTGTATGTTAGTTCAATATAACTAAAGTGTCGTGTTTACCCATTATAAATAATGTTAAATATGTATTATATAATGATAATAAAATTTCATATTTAGCATGCAAGACATGTATGTATCTCCCCCCAAATGTTTATAAAACTTAAAGAAAATGGGGCCATAAAGACTCACCTTTGTTGCGTGATCTAAGCTCAAGATTAGTTTGTTTGTGGAAAGCTTCTCGTGACAGTCCACAAACTGATAACAAAGAAGGAAGTTGAGGCTCCTACCTCTTCTTTGTTTGCTAGAAATCGTAAGTTGAACACTTCCAAGAGAGATATTTTGGGATTGAGTTTGAAACAAAAATTATGCATGGAGTGAAGGAGTTTTTACGTGAGTAATGGCTGCAACAATTGAGCAACAAGTCTTGGGTTTATATTGACTCTTGAATTCTATCAACTTGCTCTATTGTGTGGTGAGAATAAGGTTGTTTTATTGAGGATACATGTTGTACATAATCAAATAGAAGAAAAGGTGCAGGGAAACTATTCTTCATAATGGTTAAGGTATTTGATGACAAAAGGTGCATAACCTTTGGTGGTGATTTAAGAGGAGAGTATTGCTATGGATTTGACAATACGTTCACGTACACAACTGAATGATGGCAATTGAAATTATGGGGGTGAATAGGTTTTTGCATGCAACCAAGTTTTGTGATGATTCCTTCCCCATTATTATTATTATAACAGAGTTAGTCATAAAGATTTCTCCAAGAAACTTTATACGTGCATGGAGGTAATAATGAGTGCATAGCTAGTATTAATAATTTTTGCAAATCTCAATTCTTATGGACTAGACGATATTGCAATTGTGTGTATATATATATATATATATATATATATATATTACTTGTCACTTATAGATATTCTCAATTCGGGTGTCATTACACGATACTTGTAACTCTGCTTATCGTTAGACAATATTTTTAATAAGTTGGGGTGTTCGGTAAGTGATTATAAATTTTAACATCATATATATACTTTTCTATTCCATCATATTTTTCCTTAGTTCATAATATAACAATTTATTGCGGTGGTTTGGTCGATATTTTTCAACCTAAAATTACCAATTGTTACACCCCCGAAGCCCCGATATCATCCCGACACCCGAAGCAAGTCTCGACGCTCCGAAGTTCTCGAGAAAATTATATTTTCAAGCCGAAACTCTGTCCGCGGGAAGCCCGGTTTTTGGGAAAACATCCCGGTTTTATCAGAAACGATTGTTTTAAAAGGCGAGGTGCTGCCCGATCATCGTCTTCTCATGTGAGTGCAGAGTCCCTTTCATGAACATGATTTTAATACAAGTATTGTTTGAATGTATTAAATATATGATTTCTATGAGTTATTTGATGATGTCTGAATTAAGTGTTAAAGAACATACCTGATTGTTTATGATAACTTAGGTTAAAGAGTAAACCTAAGGTTTGTTATAATGGTTATGGGGTAGTATCTCTTTATGAGTACGAGTGAGATATATACAGAGAAGAACTTTACAATATGTCATTGATCCGGAAGCATGGATTAGACATAGTTATTCGTCCCTAGTCCGAGAGTATGGATTGGACTTAGTTAATTGTCATTAATCCGGGAGTAAGGATTAAGACTTAGTCAGTTGTCATTAATCCGGGAGTATGGATTAAGACATAGTCAGTTGTCCTTAGTCTGGGAGTATGGACATGACATAGAATATGTCATTAGTCTGGGAGTACGGATTTTGACATAGACCAATTGTCCCTTATCCAGGAGTATGGAATGAGCACAATCATGGACTCGAGAATGTGGATTAAATCCAGGAGTAAGAGTTAAAATGTAAGGTCCAAGGGAATGGATAGTCTCGTTGTGAGGATTGACGGGGTGGGGTAAGAGTTGGTTATATATATAGAGAAAATTTTATATTGTGTGAATTCTAAATTATATATATGTTATAACATTGTGGGATTGAAATCCCTATGTACTCACCAGGTTTTCCACACCTGACCCACTCAATGTTTTTGTATCACAACTATCGATACAAAGACACATTACACCGAGAGATAAAAGAGGTGTATATTATTAGTGTAGATGAATGTAAGTTCGGTTTATGCTTATGTGTCTGTATTGACCAGGACATCCCACATGTTTTAAAACGAATAAAATACATCTCTTCGGAGATGCTTGGCTAAAGTATTTATCATGTTTTCTG